TTTCATTAGCTCTCGTATGCTTTTGACGTGCTTAATATATGCCACAGAACCTGCAGAAGATGGCAGACAATTATTAAGATGCGCTTTTACTCTTCTAGAACACGCCAAGTACTTCATAGCTACAGACCACGCATATAAAGCAATATTGATTATTATTCAGAGCTGTTTTCGACATTAAGCATGAGCCTGCTCTGCTCTGGGAAGAGGAATTAGGATATAGCAATATTCTGGCTGCTTGTTTTTAAAATACACGCGTGGGTGGACACTCCAGCTACTGCTCACATTTTTATCTTGCAAGCCGCAGAAGAGCGGGTCGTGATTCTCCTCCCCAGTATTTTGACACTCGTTCTGTCAGTCAGATGCAGGAAGGAAGCTGCCTCGAGCCAGGCAACAGGTGCTGCGTGGAAATAATAAGCATTACTAATTGAGAAATGTTTGAATTTCTGGATGGCCCAGAGGAAACCTCGGAACAGCTTTAAAATGAGAGGTGTCGTAATCATTATTTTCCTCCAGCAAAGACACAGAAGGCCTGCAGGGCTATTCTCTTTGCCCATTAAACCTCTCCTGACTTGACGCCTCCCAGTCTGAATATTGCTCAAAAAGTCCTTGGGAATGAACCACTACACTGCTTCTGAAAATCATATAATTGCTCTGCAGCAGCAGAAAGCAAGGAACTGATTTTTCAGAACAAAGTTTGAGCCAAGCTTTAAAGCAAGCTCAAGATCCTGAAATACAGATCTAAGGAAAACCCGTGTTAATGCTCCACTCAGTCCGTGTTGCTCTGAACTTAAAGCAGCTGCTTGGTGGAGAAATGGAAAGACGGGGTTAAATTAGTGCTGGAAATACGTACCTAGCCGGGCAAAGCTAAGTCCTGAGACAGAGAGTAAATGCAGTAAATAACTTTGCCCAAAACGTCTCAGCCTTCTTCAGGGTTACTGATAGGTCTCACGGTTCATTCGGGCCGTTGCACAGAGAATTTTTACAGCCAACTCTGTTCGCCTCATGATCCTGGAAAGAGGTTACGGAGGCATCAACAGCAGCTCAACAAGTCTTGCCAGCGTCTTCTGTGACCTCGTCTCACCAAACATCTGGGCATTGCAGAAGAGCAGCGAATTCTGGGATTGAATGAGGAAAAAAACCAGGAGAGGAAAAGCGACCAACTCGAGAAATAGTGAGCTGCCATTCTGCTCGCCAGAGACACACAGTGTGTCAAGGCACGTCTCCAAGCTGAGGAGTTTGCAGGGTGCATAAATAGCTCCATAAAAACCATGTTGTCACTGCCTCACAAGGAAGCGTGTCATTGGCAAACAGCAGCTGAGGACAAAGCCTGGAACGTCACACAAGGGCTAGCTCTACCAGACATCAGAGCTGCTCATTTACTTCAGTTGAATGACTTTACCAGGATGTCTTCCATCAGAATATCTTCTGATTTTTATTTTTTTAAAAAAATCTAAACATATCTCTGCTGTTTTAAACTGCACTCATGTAAAAAAAGACTAAAGCATTTACTTCCATGTACTCCTTACACTGCAAAATGCTTCAATCCTTGAAGAAAAACTGGGGAAAACGCTCCCACGTGAGAAACGAAACTCAAGCACACGTGCAATGAACTCCTCAAACGCCACCAGCAAGGGGCACATGTGGTTTTAGCAAAAACTTACCCATCAGTCCCCAAAACCGATGGATCTTCAGCTGCCCTCCAAGGGCTGTCACAGTTAGAACCACAGGTCTGCAGCTGGTCCATCACTCCAGAAGGACCTTAGCCCAGGGCTACTGGTTCTAAGAGCAGAGAAGGGACGATGCCGCTGTCCGTCCCAGCACGCACAAACCCACCTGATTTGGGTTATGCAGAAGCGGAGCCAAATGCAAGGTTTAGGAAGTAAGATTCAAGTGGGACGAGGCCGCCCTTTCGTAACGATTAATGAGCATCCCCAAGCCATGTGATATTTTTCACTCTGTTACTAAGTATAGTCAACCCCTGCATAGCTCCCTGGAAGACTGCGAAGATATCGCCCTGTGATTTAGATTTGCATGGAACTTTTAATAGCCAACATCTTGGCAGGCATCAGTTCAATTAAAATGCATTTCCCTTCTTAGAATAATGATAGATTACACAGACAAAAAAAATAATCAGACTAATTCAGCTTGTATAGAAACAAGTACAGTTGCATGGTTTATTAATAGAGTTTTAATTTACAATACAACCTCTCTAGCACACCCAAAACGTAGATTATTTGTGTGGCATGAAAGTCACCTGTTCCAAATCCACTCTGAGCTCCTAGGCTGGGGCTTGGGGTGCCGGTGCCCTCGCGCCACCGTCCTATGTCACCAGGATCACCCGGCTATCTCCACCCTAGCACCCCCAAGGCCCGCAGTCTCTTCTGGAACCTATTCTTGCAGCCACCAAAGGCAGCTTGGAGGACCTGCCGGCTCTTCTCTGAGGAGCTGAGCTGGTCTAATTCACAGAATGTTGGGGGTTGGAAGGGACCTCTGAAGCTCATCTAGACCAAGCCCCCTGCCAGAGCAGGATCACCCAGGGCAGCCGCACAGGAACATATCCAGGTGGGGTTTGAAAGTCTCCAGAGATGTTCCTTGTGCTCTGCTGGAGCAGATTCCTTATCGACCTCCGTACCATGCACAGGGAAAACACCCGCAGCGATAACGCACGTTACAGAACCTCTCGGGCGCGTGAATAATCGCAGAACCGTGCTGCCTCGCCTGCACGCGGCCATCTCCGCGAAGGCAGTGGGAGTTGCGGAGACATTATTAGGTCTGATGACATTTCCAAAAGGCTTAAACATAAAATGTCTCATAGGGGTTTCAAAGGCTGGCATGGAACCGAAATAGTCATTGCAACAATAATTACCAGATGCTAAGAACGACCCACAGAGAAGCGTTGTGTAACTGCTTGGAAAGGAAAGAACAGAGAAATCAGAATCCATGCACAAAGTTAGAGAGGGGAAAAAGGAAAAAAAAAAGGAAGAGTTATTTTCCAGCGAAGCCATTACAGCTGCTCATACAGCTGCCCCTTCAGCCTGGCTGCAGCAGAAGCGAAGGTGACACCAGCCAGCAGCACCATGGGTCCAGCATAGGACATCACCTCCAGCCGTAAGAAAAATCAAGTATAGACCCTTTGTATCAGCCTGGCAAATCCACACCTTGGCAGGTAAGCGTAATGCTTCGGTCTGCACTGAGCACTCGTGCAGAGCTTATCTTGAGTTTCTGAGATAAGATCTTCTGCCAAACCACGTGGTGTGAGGGCTCCAGCCGTGAACCAGCACGCAGGGAGCTAATCAACCCCTTACGTTTGTGTAGGAACACCCTGAGGAGATTGGAAAAGCAGCTCGTGGCCAGCCAGAGGAGAGAACGGCGTGTCGGGGACCAGCACGGGTTGTGAGAGTTGTTCAAGTATGTGAGAGGTCGACACGGACACAAACACGATGGTTTTGTGTGTTATTCTGCAGCACAAACCAAAAAATAATGGCTGAGAAAACAGGCCCTTCTCTAGCATCTTACGCAGAGAACCAGCAGTTATTAATAGGCAGCGATGCTTTCAAACTAGGAAAGGGTACGTGCTTGCCACCATCTCCTGTTGCCGTATTTTGTTCGACAACAGAAAAACCATGTAACCAGAAAAGCGCTATAAAAAGAAGCCATGTCACTCTCCCGTGTCTCTTGCGTCAAGACTATGTTGCCATGTAAAAGAATAAAAAAATAAATCACACGTACAGTGCAAGACAGAAGCCGTCACAGTGTGCTGCTTGGGCTAACGCACAAACTTGCAGCAGGAGAGCCCTCTCAGCCCATGCTGGAGAACACTTGCACTTATTTTCTTGAAATCTTTCTCAACCACACACTGCAGGCAAGGCTGATTATACCTGTCTTTTGTTAATAACCAAAAAAAAAAAAAATCACAGAAAGAGGGAGGGAGATGATAGACTAAGCCCACGTCTCCAGCCCTTTGAGTTGTGGGAAGTGTCTGCTGAAAGTTTCCATCAGAGTTTGCTTTAAAAATGCAGCTTCCAGGCTGGATGTTTCTTGCCGAAGCAGTGTTACTGGAACCGACTCGTTAAGTCCCAACTAAAACCCGGGTTAACTTGGATGAAATAAGAGGAGAAGGGAGGGAAGAAATAAATCTGCAAGAACTCCAGGAAGACTGCAAAAGTGGCTTCAGCCACACACAAAAACAGACTGAGAAAGGAGAGGTGAATCGCCACGAGAACCAACTACTACATCAGCGGGTACTTACAACCACGCGGTTACCGTCACGGAGGAGGCAGCTCTGGCTTAAGGGGGCCAGGAGTCACCCCCTGATTTGGAGTCAGAGCAGGTGGAAAGTCCTGCCTCAGTCAACAGGGAAAGTTAGAGTAAAGGTGGGGGAGGAAAAAAAGCAAAATTATACGCAGGTGTAGCTTTAGTCACTGGCAGAACTGCAGAAGTTTCAGGAACTGCACATAGCACGCAGGAAAACTTAAATTTACCATGAAAAAAATATGCATCTTTGGTAGGCAAGCCAGTCTGTCTGCCAGAAAAGTAAGCACTTGGAGCCACACATCTGTTCATTTGCAGTGGAAATGCCTCATCAGAGATTTGCACGGGTCAACAGATTCCTGAAAACAACTTTGGGAGCATACCCATCATAGACACTATGATTTCTTTTGAGCCAGTAGGGCAGAAATACTTGAACCTCAGCATGTACTCACAGGAACGGAGATGTTCGTTTCTGATTGACTTTTTACTCTTCTGTAAACTTCCTGCATTAAAAACTTTCGGTCGCGTGTAATTGCTAACGTTGAACATTTATTGTTTTAAAAATATAAACATGCAGAAAGCCATCCTGTTTAAAACCCAGCCATAAAGTAACACGGCAGAGCTTTTATAGGAAAGCAATAGCCCTATAAGGCATGGATTTGTCCGAAATCTCCAGCAGAAAACGTATTTTCTGTGGGAGTCTGTGCTCTGCTTCCACCACGCGGTGGTGCGAGTCTGGCCACAGTCAGTCACATCACGGAGCACTTGCCTTGCAGTTTGTCTTTCTTCTTCTGCTGCTTGGCTTTCTTTCCGTCCACCTGGAGACTCACGGTTCTCCTCTTCTCCAGATTCAAGAGCTCCTGGAAGAGCTCCTGCACATTGTAGTTCATTTTGGCCGACGTCTCCATGAAGGAGCACTTCCACTTGCCAGCTAGCGCTTGCCCCTCGCCGGCATCCAGCTCCCGCTGGGGCTCATCGCTTTTGTTACCCACCAACATGATGGGGATTTTCTGGACGTCCCCTTTGATCTGACAAATCTGCTCGAAGATGGGCTGAAGATCTTCCAGAGACTGCCTGCTGGTGACGGAGTACACCAAGATGAAAGCGTGTCCTTTGGATATCGACAGCCTCTGCATGGCAGGGAACTGGTGGCTGCCCGTGGTGTCCGTGATTTGGAGGGTGCAGATGCTCTTGTCGCAGCTGATCCCCTGCCGGTACGTGTCTTCGATGGTGGGCACATAGGTTTCCCGGAAAGTTCCTTTCACAAAACGAAGGACCAAGGAGCTTTTGCCAACCCCTGCTGCTCCGAACACGACCACCCGGTAATCGTTGCTTTGTTCAGGCATGTTCGCAGTGCTGCTGCAAGACAAACGAAGGTTTGTGGCTGGAAAAGCCCGAGTTTTTCAAGTTTACGCACCCCTGCACAGAGGGAGGGGGCAAAGGGGAAAGCGAGGAGCCGAGGGAGAGAAAAAGAAACCGTTTACACCATTCTCAGCCGCTTCCCGGCGTTGAAAGAGGCAATTAAATAAGTCACTCCCCCTTCCCATTCTTTTTTCCTGGCGTTAAAGAGAAATAAACCGCTATCCATCCCCCGGCATATATCCCACGCACGCTTACCAGGATGGGAGATGAAAACCAATTCTCCCGTAGCCATCAGCAACACCGTCCAGCGAAAAGAGCCTTAAAAACCCCAAACCCCACCAAAACCCAACCTCCTTGCAGCTGCGGGGAAGCCGCGGCTCCTCCGGCCAGAGCCCGGCGCTGCGGAGAGGAGGGGAGGGAGGGAGGCTCCGTGCTGCCCCCGCCTTCCTCTTCCTCCTCCTTCCATTCCCCCGGCAGCAGTCCCAGGGACCTT